GAGTACATCACCTGAATTTACAAGTTAAGAGAAATAAAATTTGAGGTGGGTGACATTCCAAGTTCCGAATTTCCCTTCGGAGGGGTCTATTCTTGCCTCGCTCACCTCACCAAACAAGGTCTTTATGGTTAAAGAGATGTATCTTTTGGCTCAAATTAGGAATTTAAGTTCGACTTGTGAAATTATTCCTAGTAGTATGAGACTAGGTATGACTCGAGTAAAGAATGGACTATTGAAGGAAATTAGAAAAATATCATTAATTGATTCATTTTGATGACAAGACATGAGACCATAAGACAAGGTAGTAAATATGAGGTTACCTTGGGTATAGATAAGGTGGTAATACTTAGAGATTGATTATACGTACCTAGTAAACTTACGCTTAAGTAGTTGATCCTTGGAGAGGGTCATAAAAATTAAAGTAATATGATGAAAAATGTCTTAAGTAGGATGATCATTCATCACCTCTTGGATTCCTTGGCCTTGGTCATAGTCTATCACCCCTCGCCGCTTGGAGCTCAGCTCCCTGCATCTTTGCTTCGCCAAGGGCGGCAATCAGAACCCCGTTCTCCTCCCTCAGGACTCTATTCTCATCCTTCAGAGGTTGAACAAGGCTCCTCAGCTTCGCCATGTCCTCCTGCTGCCTCGACCACTTGTGTTTCCAGTAATCCACAATGGCCGTGCCTCTCTGCAAGAAGATCTGGGCGGCATCGAAACTCCTCATCGGCCCAGCCGACTCGATCATCGCCTGATCAGCCGTGCTCAGCGACCCCTTTGGGAAAAACTTCTCCGGAGTCACCGTGGCACTTCACAGAGAGTCGACCTCCTCTGACGCACTTAAATGCTCTAACCGCATGGGCGCCCCCTCTTGCGCATAGCGATACGTAAGATACGATCGCTTCGGCTTCGGCACTAGACTGGAGGTAGGGAGCCCAGAGCTCGACCCCTCCCTACGGGCCTCAGCGGCAGTAGACGCAGGTACCCCCTGCGCGACCACGGAAGGATTCCCTTCCGACGCCCCGAAACTCGGGGGACCCGAAACCCCGGTGTCGTTCCCCGCCTGCAAGAAACGAGGATACTCTTTTGAGAACAAAAGGTAAACAGAAGGGTAAAATGTCAATGCCATAGAAGGGCCAACCGCTTACCTCACCAATTGGAGCAGCAGGTACAGCACCCCGGATCACCTCCTCGGCAACCGAGGTGGCCCGCCCGGCAGCAAGGACCACTTCCTCGGCAGCATCCCCTGCCTATAGAAAACAACATCAAGTCAAAACGAAGAAAAAAAACATAAAATGAAGAAAATAGAAACAAGACTAAGAAAAGAAAAATACTCACCACGACGGCCTGAACAACTCGCTCAGCAGCTTGGGCCAGCACCTCACCGGGCTGAGCGACAGGCCCAATAGCCGACGCCGCCTCCTCGGCGGCCACACGAATGGCCCCCTCCGACGGCGGACTTCCAGCAAGCTCCACCATGCCAGCTTCAGCAGCCTTGGAGGCAACCTCGCCTATTCCACGAGGGGCAGAGGTCCCCCCGACCTCTCTCCCGTCCCTCTTTCTTTTCCGGTTCACTTTCAGGGGGGAAACCTCCTCCTCTGGAGGTTCGAAGACCTCGAGCTCGGTCACGTTGAAGTAGTGCTTCAGTTCAAGTCACAAATCCTCCCCTATAATGCCTGCAGACAGAAAATAGGGCACATCAGCAAAGAAGAATTACACAAACCTCAACAAGCTACCAAAACATAAGATACTCACCCTCGAGGCCCCTCTCCCTGTGCGCCAAGTTCGCCAGCGACAAGATCGACTTGTAGTCCAACGGGCGAGGAAGTGCCGAAAGATTCCCAATGGCGGCAGCCTCCAAGGCCGTCAATTTCGAAGGTCCACCCCGTGGAACCTAGACGGTTTGGGGCACCAGTAGAAAGGGAACTTCGGCAGTCCACCGAAGTAGAAGCCCCCATCCTGTAAAGGGTCAACGTCCACGAGGGCAACCCGGAAGAACTCAGTTTTGAAATTTTTATAAGACTGGGAGTAAAGAGTGAATAAACCCCCCTCTTTACTCCCGTTGAAAGAAAGAACGCCATAAGGCAGAACACCCAGCTTCAACTGATAGAAGTGAAGGAAAACGCGAAGGGACAACTCTATCCCTAGGACCGCACACAGGACTTGAAACGCCCTCAAAACACCCCAGCTATTGGGGTGCAGCTGGCAAGGAGCCGCGTTGATGTAGTTTAAGAAATCACACTCAAACTGAGTGAAAGGAAGACAAACGCCCAGGTCCCTGAAGAAACACTAATAGACATAGAAATGAGGAGGGTCGGTAGACCTCCCCATGTACGCACCCTCACCGGCCGGACAGGGCTCGAGTCGAATCATCCGGGAAATGGAAGGGTCGCAAATCTGGTGCGTCTTCCAAACCGCATTGACCTCCATAAGCGATATGAACACACTTTGGACCCCCCATTTCGCGCTTAACTCAGTCGTAGCCAGGAACGCCCGGCTCCAGGTCCTTGGGCGGAGACGGGTCTTTCCTCTCGGGGGCGCCCCTCCCGGTAACCACCGCCTTGCCGCGCGCCTTGCCCCTGGCAGGCACAGAAGAACTGGCGCCACGACCACCAGCCATCAAGAGGAGCAATAGGACTCGAAGAGGAACTGTGAAAACGGAGACGAAAAACGAACGGAAGTAAGAAGGCAAGAAAAGTTATCGTACTTGAGAAGCCAAGAAGTGGAAAAATAATAAAGTGGAAAGGGGAAGAGGCGCGAGGGAGAGAAAAGGTTTTCCCACAAATTCAAAACGGTCGCGCCACGTGTCAGCCAAGGGACGCGTCTGACGGCGCATTAATGGAAAACCATCATGACAAGCGCAAACTATCAGTACATAACCGTCACCCCCGTTAACGCGCCACTTGCACGTTTTCGGAAGTGACAGTTGCAATACACGACACCTTGACAGGCCAGTGCACGTGGAAGGTCACCCTCCCCAAGGAGCTCGGTCTTAACTCCTCGACCTACGGTCTTCGGAGCTCGGGGGGCTAGTGTACTATCCGTACTCCGAAGCCGAGTTCCGAGCTCGGTACCACAGCACGAGCTGACCTCGGACACGCGCCATGCAGCGCTAGCTCGGCACTTAAATAGATCGTAACCGATCTCGGGGAATCTCGGTCTAGGCGAGATCCTCTACCTAATCAAATCACAACTAATCTCAAGCCCAAGGCCCAATGCAACCCTAATATACATCAAGGTACGTGCATTATATATACGAGATTCATACTCATACAAACTCTAACTTTAGCATCGGAGTCTCTTTTGCAGGTACCACCCCCATCTTGGAACATCAAGCGTATCAACGAAGGAGGCTCACCGATCTTACCTGGCGGATCAGCTCTACAGCAGATTTCCGGTAAGAACATATATATATATATATATATATATATATATATATTTTAAATATTAACAAATTTTAACTATTTTTCATCATTTAATAATATTTTTTCTAAAATATCTCTTCTTTAATGTATAATTTTTAGTTATATTACTTTTTTTCATTTATAAAAAGAACAGTTTAAAATGGATGTTAAACATAATAAATTTTAATATAAATAAATATTTTTTTAATATATGTAAAATTAATACTTTTTTATAATTGATATCAGAGAGAGTGTGATTTAGCTTCCATTGTAACATGGTGTGGACCAATGTAAAATAACTTGATGTTTATTTAGTATCGATTTGTAACCCTTTCTATCTTATTTTCCTTTTTTTCTCCCACTTGTTCCTCCTTTTCCTCCTCTTACATAATTTTTGTTTTTAGTCTCTCTAAAATGAATAAATTTTAATTTTAATTTCTTAAAAAAAAAATTCTCCACCTTTTAATATTTGTTAACATTATTTTTTTCCCTTTTAAAATGAATAAATTTTATTTTTATAAAAAAAATTAATTTTATCCCTTTAAAATCTAAAATAATTTTTTTGTTTTTAATAATCATTTTAAAATAAATAAATAACATATTTTAAAAACTTTTAAAATTCTTTATACATGTCTCACACTAACATAATATCACTAATAATTATGAATAACAAATAAAATGATTATTTAACTCTTTTATTAAATAAATAAGCAGTTAAAAATAATTAAAAATAGTAAGATAGAAAATAATAGTTCCAAAATTTTATTGAATAAAAAATAAAACATACAGAAAACAAAATAAATATATTTCTGAAAACAAAATTCTTTTTTTAAAAGAATCTAAAATAAATTCTTATAAAACAAATAATTTTAATTTTTTTCTCTTAAAATTTTACTCTTTATTTCTCATATTTAACTAGTAAACAATTAAATAAATTGTGACAAGTAATATTATTTTCATCGTTGTCTACTCTTGCATACACACACATCCTCTTTCCAAGTGCTTCAGTCCAAAGCCGAAAGACTAAACAAAAAAAAAAAAAAAAAAATCCAACGGCCTCACCCCCCGCCGCCCCTCCTCTCCCCCCACCCCCCCCCCCCCTCTCCCCAGGGGTGTGACCAAAAACCCAAAAACAAAAAAAAAAAAAAAAAAAAAAAAAAAAATCCAATGGCATCACTCTCCGTCGCCCCTCCTTTCCCGCCACCCACCCTCCTCCGTCGAGCCTCTTCGACGCGAGCCCAAGCCTCGACCCGACCCGACCCGGAACCCGCTTCTTCCTCGACAGGTTTGGCATTCGCGGACGAGCGCACGCGGAGAATAGCGAAGGAGCTGGAGAAGCTGAAGGCGAGAGAAGCGAGGGAGCGGAAGGAGATGACGAACCGAAAGACAGCGTCGCAGAAAGCAGTGTCGGTGATTCTGCGGCGAGAGGCCACGAAGGCCCACATCGATAAGAGTGGTGGCAGGAAGAAGGGACCCGTCAACTCCAAGAAGCTTCTTCCCCAAACCGTCCTTGAAGCGCTCCACGAGAGGGTCACGGCTCTGCGCTGGGAATCCGCTCTCAAGGTAGGTTGAGTTTTTTTCTCTTTGGGGTTGCTTTGTTGTGTTTATGTGCTCGGAAGACGAAGATTTAGGAAATGGAAATGTGTTTAGGGATTAACGTTTTTGAATGTGCTTAGAGAGACCAAACAAAATTGAGGATATGTGGATAAACTTCATTATAAGCACTATTAGGTCAAAATAAAAATAGGTAGGAAATGAAGTTATTGATTTCGACTTTGTGGATGAAAATTATCCTTCCCAAACACACACTGTGTGGATTTTGTTTTAGTTGTGACTGTGGTAATATTAGTTTGGAACTTGGTGTTTGGTTGGTAGTTTGAGATTGGATACAAGCTTAGAAATGCTTTTCAGAGTTTCTCTACTACAACATATTCATTATTTTCCGTAGAGAAACTTTCAGAAACGTTTTTAACTTGTATTCAAACGGATTCATAGTAATCAGTCAACTTTTGCATGAAAACAAGGTAAAAGGAAAGTTAGGATAGAAGGGAAGAGAATGAGAATTGAGAAGCTTTGACCATGACAAATTTTGGTTTAATTAAATTTTTGTAAACTTTTAGGCAATTAGTTCATTAAATGGATGTTACGATGAAATACGACTAAACTGATTCACAGAGTATAATTTTGATTGATCCTGGTATTTGTGTTGGTGTTATTGGAAAAGTATAAAGTAATGCTCTAGTTACAGCAATGAAAAGAACATAAATTAGCAGAGGAAAATGGAAAATATGGAGAAACTCGTAGAAGCAGAGTGCTACTATGACCCAAGGACCAAAACTCCCTTAAATTCTGTAGCAGATTCAATGTCCCCCTCTCGACTAGCTCCCTCCATCATATTCTCAAGACTCCCCGTACTTTCCTCACCTGGTTCTCCAATGTTCTGCTATTGCCTGTGAATTCTGTTAGACTTCTCTCTAGCAGGCTTGTCCCATGCATTTTCTTACCCATTATTTCTGTCTCTGCTTCCCTTGTTTCTCTGCTAAACCATAATTGGCCATCCATCAAATGCAACTATGGAGTACCCATCAAATTCCTTTAAAAGTACCGAGGCAGGGAAAATTACCTATGAAGACATGGAGTGCTTATCTCTTCTTTAAGATTTAAATAGATAAAAATTCCCAGGGACAGAAAGCTTTGGCCATGACAATTGTTGGTTAATTGAATTTTGGTTAGCTTTTGGGCAAGTAGTTCATTGGATGGATATAGATGGAAAATGTTAAACTTATTGAAGAAGCTCATTTATTAATCGTGTAACGTGATGGAGAGATGTAGAAAAACAAAATGATCAGGAGTATTTTCATTTTTCTAAAACATGGCAAATGTTCATTGGAATATTCCTAACTAATTTATATCCTTATATTTGTTTTCCCTCATCCTCCGTATCATGTATTTTAGCTAGCTTAAGAGTATGTTATTACCTTGCTCTCTCTCTGCCTCCTTTTATATATTTTACATTTTTTCATCTACCTATTTAGGGAAAGGGTAGTGAGGAAGTGCCGGTACTTACTTTGATACTATTCAGAAAATATGAAATGTTGAAGGAAGAAAGTAAAGATACAGGGAAGCATCTTTTTCATTTGGGATCTAGAAGATAAGTTGAAAAAATGGGGCAACATATGGAAGAGTTAAATTGATGGAGGAAGTCTTATTACGGAATTTCTGGTGTTCAAGGATTTCATGTACTGAGAAAAATTAATTTGTATGTTTTGATATTTATGCACATGAATTTTAATACTGGTTGAAATTTTTTTGCATCTACTCTCACACACACACCCTCTGGTTAAGCTGTCTTTTTATAGGAAGACTTATCAAAGCATACTATCATGGTTTCAGGTTTTTGAACTACTGCGTGAACAGCTCTGGTATAGACCTAACTCTGGTATGTACATCAAGTTAATCGTCATGCTTGGAAAATGTAAGCAACCTGAGAAAGCTAATCAACTCTTTCAAGCTATGGTTGATGAGGGTTGTGTTTTGGACTGTGAATCATACACTGCCTTGTTATCTGCCTACAGCAGGAGTGGTCTCTTGGACAAAGCTTTCTCTCTTCTTGAGGAAATGAAGAATACGCCTGGTTGTCAGCCAGATGTCCAGACTTATTCAATCCTCATAAAGTCTTGCTTACAGGTTTTTGCCTTTGACAAAGTTCAGAGCCTTTTATCTGACATGGCCAATAATGGGATCAAACCCAACACAATTACCTACAACACCCTTATTGATGCTTATGGGAAGGCAAGAAAGTAAGCTCTTCGTCTCTCTTTACCTTATGAAAGTAACACATGCTCAGTCTGGTCGGTAATAGAACTTGGAAAAAGAATTTCATTGACAACCTACTTTTCCACCATATTCTAGAATTTAGATACAATCACAAATTGGGAGAGCGGAGGTTCTATCTTTTTATTAAAAGAAAAGGCAAGGTAAAGATAGCCAGATGAATGGTAGACTCAACCTTTATGATTGCCATAAATGAGCTCTTTCACAGTGTATGCTCCATTATCCATTCCTTGATCGTCATTCCCTTCCCCCTTTCCAAGTAAATTTGGGATATACAAGTTGTTCTATTTTTATTTAGTTTGTTTTGTTAGTAATTTATCTTTTTAGCAACCAGCTGAAGCATGATCTAGTATCCTATTTGCATATTTGTAATATATTATCTTGTTCCTAAAAGGTTTTCAGAAATGGAATCTATACTTGTGGCAATGCTTGCTGACCAGTATTGCCAACCCGATGTATGGACCATGAATTCAACACTGAGGGCATTTGGCAACATTGGACAAATTGAAACAATGGAGAAGTGTTATGATAAGTTCCAAACTGCTGGAATCCAACCTAATGTTCAGACCTTTAACATTCTCATGGATTCCTATGGCAAGGCTCAGGATTACAAGAAAATGAGTGCTGTGATGGAATACATGCAGAAGTACCATTACTCTTGGACAATTGTGACTTTCAACATTGTGATTGATGCTTTTGGGAAGGCTGGGGATCTCAAACAGATGGAGTACTTGTTTAGACTAATGCGGTCGGAGAGAATAAAACCTAGTTGTGTCACACTGTGCTCTCTTGTCAGGGCTTATGCACATGCAGGTAAACCTGAAAAAATTGGTGGTGTCCTGCGTTTTGTTGAGAATTCAGATGTATTACTGGACACTGTATTCTTCAATTGCTTGGTGGATGCTTATGGGAGGTTAGGATGTTTTGCTGAGATGAAGGGAGTGCTTGAGATGATGAAACAAAATGGTTGTAAACCAGATATCATTACTTATAGAACCATGATTAAAGCTTATACAATCAAGGGCATGGATAGCCATGCTAAGGAGCTCAGAGAGCTCCTACCAACAGTGAATAGGCCTGCATTTAAAAGGGATAAGCCTGACTTTTGATGAGAAAATCTGCTGATATTTTTGGCTCCAATTTGTTTGGTGCCATTGATCTGTTTATTTGTGCATTCTTGCAATATACGTATTGCTTTCAAAACAGTTGTATAAAAAGGGATAAATATTAGCGACACATTATTTAAAATATGCTTTTCAGCATACTATTTTTCAAGTGTTTAAGAACATAACTTTTCAAACGTAAGTTTTATTATTGTTGGAAATTTATTGAAATTTTGAAAATGATAAATAAGACTCATTAAATACGGAGTGAGTATTATATATTTTATGATTTTTAATAAATTTTAAGTTAATAATAGAATATATTTGAAAAAATATATGATTAGTATTTCTCATTCTTTATTGGGTAGAATTAAATAATGCGAGTTTCATGTCATTTATCATTTAACAGGGGAGTGTAGAAGAATGTGACAATAAATGTATTATTAGTATTTGTCTTATGAGGGATCTTATTTGGCAGTAGGCAGTTATTTTTTTATATATCTTTTAGGAAAATATTAAGGAAATAAAATATAAAGTATTTATTATATTAAAAATGAAAAATAAGGTATACGATACCATATTAAGCATAACTTGCAAGTAGAGAGAGAGTATTTTATAGGATAGATTACATAGTTTAGTTATAACTAATAGAATCATTATAGAAAAAGGAAAAGATACAATACATCAAGGCTCTATGATAAAAGTCAGCGCCTAGGCTAGTTACAACAGGGAAAAAAAAACCTATACAATATCCACTAAGTATTTTAATAATAAGTTAGGATAAAAAAAGACTTTGTTTAATCAGATGATTTTGAATGATTAAAATATTTTAGGCAAAAACATGACTTTAACTTTCTTTTTTTTAATTTAACCTTTTTGAAATTCTAATCTAGCCTTTTAGTTTACTTGGGAGTGTCTCATATCAAACCTTATTAATAGGTTTGACTATCTCTAAATAGGTTATAGTATAACTTATCTTTCTTTTTGTCTCTCTTCTTATTGCTTTATGCTACATATTATACATATATTTCTTTTTATTCTCTCTTGTTTTCTCTCTAGGGTCCATCTTGTGTTGATTGTCTATAATTTATTTTTCAAAAAATTACTAGGTTAATATGCTTGAAGTAAAATTATATGTAAAACCAATCATAAACTATGAGTAGTGGCTTGATATTTGATAAAAGAGTACCTATCTTGTGTGCGTTCATGATCTTCAAGGAGATTAGTCATTATTTTCAACGGTAGATATTAAACATCAATACCATGGTTACTCAAAAAAATATAGACAATTTTGTAGCTAATTAGCAATAACCATCTCTTACAAATTCATTATTAATCCTTCGCAAATACAATTGTGACAAAATCATTCTTATTCCCTCACTAATTTATTGTAGTTATACATTTGATATTGCCTCTCTAATTTGTCATCACTTATCTCTTAGTAATCATTCATAATTATACCCTTGTTATTCCATATCAAATTTGTCATCATTTATTCATCCCAAATCATTTACAATTATACCATAGTTATTCCCTCCTTAGTCAGTCACAAAGTTTCCTCCACTATATATTCACAATTCCTTTGTTATCCATCACAAAACTTATGCCAAAGTTTCCTCACAAAGTCATAGTTTTTCACAATCAAATTTGTTTATATGTAATTAAGAAATATAAATTATACTTATCATAAACAAATCTTGCATCATCAAAATAAATTGATTTGAGTGTCACATATATACTTTAAATGAAAATAAATCATTAAATGAATATATATATATATATATATATATATATAATTAAAAAAACAAATAACATGTGACACTTTACCTTTCATGCATATATTTTACAAGCATGTTAGGGGAACCTTTTTTTGGTTACATATGCGAGAAGAAACAAAATAAAAAATACAGAAAACTAACATAAAAAAACCACCAAATGATTAACCCTCCTTAGAAACAAGGTATTCATCAAATTCACACAGAGCCCCAAACTCAACCAAGCAGGCCCACCCAATAGCATCTCCAATCAACTAGACGAGGATGCTCCTAATTTGGCGAAACCATCCGCACAATGATTGACCTCACACAGCAAGTGATGCACACTACACTCCCAATCTCTTGTCACCAATTCTCCCTTTGATCAAGTGGATAACTAGGGGAGAGTCCAAGTAGCAAGTCACCCTTTAGTATCCTCTATTCCAACATATGTAAAGTCCTTCAAGGATAGCCATGATCTCTACGTAAAGAATATCCATGTGTGAAGACTCACCATTGAAGCCAAACAAAAACCTTCCATGCTCGACTCTCCCAGGCCCCCAAACCCAATTGCTTAAGGTTCTGCATGCACACTACCATTGACGTTTAAAGCGATAGCCCCCAGAGGAGGACAAACCCAAGTAATCCAACATGGAGGTACATGTTGGGGCACATCCGCTCTAAATGCATTCTCGAAAAAGATTTTAAGCGCTTGCACCTTAGAGTACACTTCCATACACAACCCCTCTCTATTTTGAAAAATAAAAGCATTGTGCGTGCACCAAACTACCCATAATAGAATTGGAACCACAACCCCATATTGATCAAGCAAGCCCTTCAATTAGTGGAGCATATAATTATCATGGCCTACCAAAACTTACAATTGATCGAACCCACAACCCAACCAAAAAGTGGTCACATGAGGACAATCAAGTAAGCAATGTGTTATGCTTTGGTGCATCGAGGACAAGAAGAGTCAAGACCTTTAAGCCTCCTGGCTAGGATGCTTTTAACTAAGAGAACTAGGTTGAACAATTGCCAAACAAAAACTTGTATGTTAGCCGACATAGGTGGCTTCCAAATCCATGACCATGATCTGACCTAATCTAAACTATCCACCACCCCCAATAAACCACTTATAGGCACTACGAGTTGAGTATTTGGTAGAAATATCATGATTCAAAACCCGAAATTTTGGTAGTGAGGAACCAACACTTGTTGTAGGTCCAAAAACTTATTTATTACCTCATTAGGGAAGGCAATGTACAACATATGCAAACTCCAATCTCCTTCCTCCCACGCATCCTTAATCATCAGGCCCACATCATGGATGTCCACAAGAGGGACTAGAGTATGTAGTGGAATTTTACACAACTACGGTTGGTCCCAAAAACTCATTACATTGTTACCCATCTTGAAAGTAAACCCATCCTCTAACACATGCAAAGCTTTCATTAGTTAATTCCAAATAAGAGAGTTGCATTACATTGTACGACCAAAAAGATGCTCATCCTTAAGATATTTGTCTACAAGCAAGGATGTCCATAGTTGGCCTAATGAATGTAAGATATCTCACACCAACTTGCTAAGCAAGGTTGTATTGTGTTCGCAGGCCCTTCTAATTCCTAAACTTCCATACTTCGTTGGCTTGGTCATCATGCTCTAACCAACCATGTGGAACCCCCTACTATATATACCTTTCCATACAAAACATTGAATCACCTTATCGATATAATCACATATATACCTTGCTTACCATTGTAATGGCATTCCATAAGAGGGAAAAGAAGTAATCACAATATTAGCCAAGGTAACCCTCTTGGGTTAATTTAGCAACCTCCCCTTCCACGTTGACAGTTTCCCATTGGTCCTAGTTAACAATTCTATAAAGTCACTCCTAGTAATTCTACCATTATACATCCTAAAACACAAGTAGTTCTCTATCCCGGTAATAAATCAAATCTGTGTAACAGAAGATATTACCTCTTTATATGCTTTGGATATCCCAAAAGAGGCTATGATCCTAGATTTAGCCAAACTCACATTCAAGTCCGACAAGGCACAAAAATTAGTCAAAACACTAGTCACCTTACGAACGTGGGATGTTTCAACCTTTACAAATAGTAACATATCATCTGCAAAAAAAAAAACAAAAAAAAGAAGTGGCTTCTAGCCTCCTGATTCAACTTCTTGTTGGATCATACTTCCCAATCTTTCCATGCATAAAATGAATAAGGGAGAGGGGATCCCCTTGTAGGATGCCTCTAACGAGGCAAAAGCCTTTTAGTTTGTTGTCGTTCCACAATAAAGAAATACAAGTGGAAGCTAAACCATTCATGATTAGAGAGATAATCACCTTTGGGAACTTAAATAGCTACAAGGCTTGTTTAAGAAAGTCCCAGTCAACCTTATCATAGGCTTTTTCCAAATCAAGTTTGAGGACTAAGTCCCCCTTCTTCCTTTTACACTTTTGGAGATGGTACTCTCTACCTCTTGAAGAGCAATCGCATTATTCTTGGTACTACGCCCCACTAGGAAGCTACTCTATAGGAGGTTAATAGAGTTGGTTAAGGGCCTCAATCGATTGACTAGTACCTTAAATAAAACCTTGTAAACCACATTACATAAACTAATGGGGCAAAAATATTTCAAACAAAATGGAGAGTCACTTTTAGGGATAAGCACCAGAAAGGTCTATCATGCGTGCGTCAATATGATCAATTTTGAAAGTTGTCGCTACAAAGTTCTAAGTCGCCTTCCCCACCTCATCCCAAAAGACCTTGAAGAAGATGGGTTGAAACCCATCAAGCCTTGGGGCCTTATAAGAACCCATACTTATTAGAACCTGATAAACCTCCTACTTAGACACTAGCCCAACCAAATTTTTGAAGTATGTCATTGCCTTTGTCGGTAACATATAAGCATTTGTGCACCATTCATTCAAAGGAAGAAATAACTCATGTATTTTATTTTTCTTCCTTCCAATAGTTTGCACATGGAAGAAAAAAGAATTTCTATTGCCTAGTTTCACCCACTTCTCCTTGGACTTTTGAAACCAAAGAGTTTCCTCTTGGAAAAGAACATCCTCATAAGCACAAAGTAAATCACCTTTAAGAATAACTAGATGAGTAGAATCAATGTTTTCCAAGGCTCTTTGGATACCCCGCAAACCTGCCTCCAACTTCTTCTTTTGACCAAAAATATTCCCAAACACATGAGCATTAAAGTTCAAAGAATCTATGGACATTATTGAGGGCCCTCACAATATCTTCATTCTCCTTCTACCATGTCTCAAGCACAAAAATTTATGAAAATTTTTTTCTCAAATGATAAAAGAATCACTTTCTCAAATTAACCAAAAGTCCAAACTTTAATTTTAAAAAATTAAAGTAATAAACAATTGTTTGGCACTTCAAAGGTCATA